CTCATCCCCGTGACAGCCATGCACTCCGTCACCCTGACGCTGATAAAATGGATGGCCGCAGGATGGAGCGGCTGCCTCTGTGCTGTCCACACTTTCACCAGCCTCAACAGGCTATGTTAGTCAAGGTCAGCTTTATGTAAACGCTGGTGCTCATCTGCTTCGAAAAGAAGGGAGCGAAAAGAGATGGTGCGTGATAATGTGGTAATATACCTCCTGTTTAGATAGTTGAACAGCTTTTAGGAAAATATTTATAATAATTCAGCAAATTCCGACAGAGCTCTGAAATACTCTGCATAGCTCTGTTTGACCCTGGTGAAGAAACACTTTGGTATTTGATTGTCTTCAAGTGTCTCCAAAGCAGTTGTTGCTGTGAAAGCATTATTATCAACAGTTTTACTCCTTTATATAAACTTCCAAAGTCCCTCAAGTAAAGCATATATACACTACCATTCAAAAGTTTGGGGTCAGTAAGATTTTGTTTTATAGATATGAATAGTTATATTCAGCGATTAAATTGATCAAAAGTTACAGGAAAGACTTTTATTACAAAATATTACTATTTTAAATAAATGCTGTTCTTATTAATTTTTTATTCATTAAAAAAATCCTGAATAAATGTATCACAGTTACCACAATTATATTAAGCAGCACAATTATTTTCAACATTGATAAGAAGAAATATTTCTTGAGCACCATTCAGCATATTTGAATGATTTCTGAAGTTACATGTGACACTGAAGACTGGAGTAATGGCTGCTGGACTAAAAGTTTCAAGGTTTGGTTGGTTAGCATGACCCAGTTAGCCTACTGTAACGACACAATCTGGATCTAAAAGTAAAGTAGGCAAATCACATACTTTTTGGGCGGTCTTGTACTTAGTGAGAAACTGCCATTGAGATGAATGGGAATGTTAATGAATAACTCTATAGACCTTTTGGCTGTGTACATGAAAATAATGCAATGATGCTGTATAATTAAACACTGTGCTCCTGAATAAAATTTTTACATTTTAAATGAGTTGCATTCATTGTCTTGAGTAACAGCCATTGAACTAATGGTCATGCTGCATTTGATGATAAAGAGAATTTGATTGCATTAATTACAGCACTTCATTGGGTTTCTTTGCCATTTACTGTAATGATATTCTGCTCATATGTGCTCATTTGATCCTTGTCGTCCTTGACATTTGTGTCTTGCATGTAAATTATTTCACTTTATCTTCTCAGTCTGGGGTATGGTTTGTTTGGCACTTGGCATTAAACGGGTTAATGATGTCAGCACCCCCTCCCAACCACACTTATTTAATGAAAATGTTAAAAACCTTAGCTGAAGACTTTTATACAGCCTTCCATTTGTCTTCTATTACATTTACATTTAAATCTAATGTGATGTGTTTTCTATTTTATTGGATTAAAAAATGTAATTTTTAAAATATGGATCTGCACCATCAGATACAAAAAATACCATTTATTATTATAAATATTGACAAATTGAGCATTCACTTCAGTTAATGATTAGTTTAGTAAGACTAAAAGATTAAACTTTCATGTCTATTATGTGTCTATTAAATGCAGGACCTTTTTCTGCTGTTGCTAAAGTTACAAATAAAGCTACAAATAAGACTACAAATGACACGCTTTGGATATTCGTTGTATTGCTGTTCTAGATTCACCACCACTTTTTATTTCCTCTCATTTCTTTTAACCAGAAATGTAAGCTCATCATCTGCCATGTTTTTGGGATAGGACATGGTACTTACGGTTTATGATAACCTAATAAAGCCCATCTTCTATAAAAAAAGGTATGAACAGTGCTGCACTGCAATACTGAAAAAATAAAAGTTTAAAAGAGCAGTTAAAGGTTTGTTTGTTTATTAATTAGTTTATTTATTTATTTTGCTCTTTCAGAAAATCTGCTGCCTTATGCTGTATTAGTTGATTTTGGCAGAGCTTCCCTAGTGAAAAATAAATATGCTAAAATGTAATTGAAATACATTTATTTCATGCTAAGTATACTACAAATACATTTACATATTTGTGACTTTGGAGCACAAAACCAGTCATAAGTAGCACAGGTATATTTGTAGCAATATCCAACAATACATTGTATGGGTCAAAATGATTGATTTTTCTTTTATGCCAAAAATCATTAGGATATTAAGTAAAGATCATGTTCCATGAAGATATTTAGTAAATTTCCTACTGTAAATATATCAAAACTTAATTTTTGATTAGTAATATGCATGGCTAAGAACTTCATTTGGATAACTTTAAAGGCGATTTTCTCAGTATTTAGATTTTTTTTTGCACCCTCAGATTCCAGATATTCAAATAGTTGTATCTCGGCCAAATATTGTCATGTAACAAACCATATATCAATGGAAAGCTTATTTATTCAAAAAATTGACCGATATGACTGGTTTTGTGGTCCAGGGTCACATTTATGTAAATGTAATTGTACTGTTGGTATACTAAACTGGTATACATAAAGTCTGCTAAATTGGCACAACTAATTTTTTACTTAATGCACTTAATCTGTGCGGAAATAGTCCAACTAAAGATATACTGAAGTATATTTGATTGTGCTAAAGTGGAACTATTGCAAGTATACTTCAGTTACACTTTAAATATCTTACATTTAAAGACCGATATTATTCAAAAATCATACAATCCTCATCAATAGTGACAATAAAACACATTTTAGGCTTAATATTAAGAAATGTGCATTGTACACAAGCAGTACTCCAAATAAAGTTTAATTATAATTTTTATATCAGTAAGTCTCAAGCGATATGTTAGTAAATATGTTAATGGATTTGAACTACTTAGTATGAAATAAATGTATTTTAAATATATTATTCTTTTACTAAGGTACATGTGATAGTTTTGACTTATTTTCTTTTAAATATTGAGTGAAATATAATTTAAAAATATTATATTATATTTTATCATTTAAAATATTTTTACTTTTTTGATTCCCTGCATGAAGATATCAGTCCCCTGAACCATTTTGCACGTAATCATCCACGTTAGCCAAAGACCTGGAGAGCGCTCTCCCACACACACACATGCGTTACCTGAAGGAGGTGTTTGGCCTCTCAGGCAGCAGTCACAATGGAGCGTGACAGAGACTCTGTAGACCAGCCCAAGAACATGCACGTAGCAGGCTGCTGTGGTAACTAGGCAACCTGTCTCCCTCATAATGAAGAACTCTTATGTGACGTGGTTTCTGTTAGCAATTGTCTGTCCTCTCTCATGATTTGTGCATGGGTCTCACTCTCAGATATTGAGTTTACTGATGAATTTACATGGCAACATCTTTCTGTTCTATTGTGTAATCGATTTGGATCCTAATTTTGCATTTTATATTTGCCTGTCAGGTAAATACATTTCAGCTCTTATGAAAAGGTCCATAATCTTTGATGGGTTGGAGCAGGTGTTGTTTCCCCCAGGCCCTGTGTTATGTCTACGTCAGCTGAATAAATTCTCTCTAGAGTTAAAAAAATCAACTCAGCCGTCACCTGTTTCCCAGGTAATTGCTTTGCGCACCAATAAAGGGAGCAGTGGTCTTTGGTTCAGGTCGGTGTTTAAATCTTTGGACATGAATTTAGTGAGGTAGTCAGAGTGGTATAGTGGTTTTGTGTGTACGAGGGGTAATTTTTGGTTCTGTGAGGAGGCATCATGATTCGAGTCAGTTAAGGTATTTTTGTGTGTGTTTATGCAGCTGGTGAAGCGCAGGCTCTGAGCAGTGACAGACTCAACTGCAGACTCTGTTTATGAGCTTCGTCTTTGGAAAGAAAATCCAAGCTTGTTTGCTTTCACACGTCATGTTTGAAATGTGACACACAGGTTTCAAAAAGCTCAACATACTCGCAAAAAAAAAAAAAGCTCCCATGACTCTTAAGGATATATATTTATTGCAGTTTTAACATTAGGACTCAAATCATTTTCCTCAAAAATATACCATTTATTTATTTGTTTGTTTGCCCTAATGATTAAATTCAGTTATTTTTAGATGAATATGGTGAGTTGATGGTTGAGTTTTTAAACTCACTTACTGGCCCAATTTGAATATTAACATAAATTATTTTACAAGAACTCACACTGCATCCTGCACTCTCAGAAACAAAGGGTACAAAAGCTGTCACTGGGGCAGCAGTGACAAAAGGTACACCTTTGTACCTAAAGCATGCATAATAGTACTTAAAAGCAGGGCTGTACAGTGCGACATATAGTGTATTATTTTCATATTTGTTCATTCAATTTCTTGAATGTTAGGCTACTGCTAAATACTGTACCTGAAAAATAAAGCACTGATTGTTTTATTTGTATATTATGTGCATATCCTAATCCTGAAAAAAAAATCGTAATATGATATTTTTGCCATATTGCCCACCCCTAACTTGTGCTACAACTGTTTGGCCTGTGCTACAAAATGTTCAACCTTTGTAGCACCAGTGCTATGTGCAAAAAAAGTGAACGTACAGCCCTGCTTAAAAGGTACATATTAGGGGCTTTTGCACCAGAGGAACCTTTTCAGTTCCTAGAAATATTGGCGTAGGGAGTTCCTGCTTTTTGAATTGTTCGCACAGCAGGATCTTGGAACATATTTGGTTCTAGGAACTCCATTTGGAGGAACTAAATTATCTCCTAATTCAGAGTAGGGTCTAGTACATTTTGAAAGGGTACTGCCCCAGTGGAAGCTTTTGTACTTATTTCTGAGAGTCTGTCTTTTGAATACAGCTCTAGGAATAAAATTTGCTGTCAATTTTTGCAACGTTTTCTGACGACCTTTGTGTGGTTGCCATGTTTGATTTGTATTCACAACTATCATGCAGTTTATAATACTGTACTTATACAAATTTTAGTCCAGATTATATTCAGTGTTCTCTCAAGCATTTTTAGAGAGTGAGAAACCAAAAATCAAAGTCTTTTCAAGCTGTAGAAATGTGTTTTTGTGTGTGCTAGAGCAATACATTCTCTCTTTTCTTCTCTCCACAGTGCAGGAGTCAGCCGCACATTGGACTGAGGCATGTCACCAAACAACGGGTATGTTCTCCATCTGAGTCTCTCCTCTGTGTCATGTTCTATAGGGAATAGAAAGTATTGATTTTAGTACACAAGCTGCAGTTAGGCAGGAGACATCATTGATATTGTCCCACCACTGTTTTTTAGACAGTCAGACCTAAAATACATCAAACATATATTTATACATACCATATTGCACACCTGAATACTACTCAAAGAGAACAAAAAACAAAACTGAACTTAAAGTTACAATGTATGATTTCAAATGGCTAAAACACTAATATTGGCAATAAATAATTTTATAATAAAAATTTTCAGACAGTTATCCCGAATACATGTTGTTCAGACAATTTGTTCAAACAATTTACAATAAAGTTTAAAACAAACTGAAACAACACACTCGACAGTTCTAATTGATCAGCGTATTGGAATGAGCGGAAGAAAAATATTGGTGTTGGTACAAAGTATATCTGAAGGAAATTTTGTGTGAGTACTCTTTCCTGTGTGCATAAATGCAAGAATTGTTTCAAAATATTAGTGAATGGAGCCCAATGTTTTGAAAGTATCACAGAGCCACAAAAATACCCTCTTCTGAGAAATCAAGCTATGAATGACTGATTTGTAGTTGTATTTGCATATTAAAAAAAAAAATTGCTGTGATCATTTACTCACCCTCATGTCATTACAAACCCATACGATCTTCATTTCTTAGATTTTCAGTGGATGGACAAAAACTGAGAGAATATTAAATATATATTCATTTGTGCTCTGAAGATGAACACAAGTCTAATAGTTTTGGAACAACATGAGGGTGAGTAAATGATGACAGAATTTACATTCTGCAAGCGTGTGGCGGCACAAGGCACAGTGCATGTGTTCAACGTCATCACGCCAGATCTGGGTCAGCATCGGTGCCGCCACATGCTTGCGTCATGGTACTGTCATGAACACGCGTCCACAAGTGACGCAGTAGAGATGAAAATGTGGAATAAAGTCGTTATTTTTGTTTTCTTTGTGCAAAAAAAGTATTCTCGTAGCTTTGTAGCATTACAGTTGAACCACTGATGTCACACGGTCTACTTTGTCGATCATCTTGGTACTTTTCTG